GCATTTAGAAAGGCAAGAAGAAAAAGGGAATGCCTTTAGCCTCCTCTCTTGCTGTCTTTTGTAGTTCAGGGTGGGCCAGCAAATTGCAGTCCCAGGGAACTCTGTATGTCATATTCTGAACTAGGAAACTGTAAATTCAAACAGTCATTTTGAAAATTAGGTGACGTTACTAGGTGGATTTTTGGAAAGGGGAAAAAGAAAAAAAATACCCCATTGAATATAACTCTTTGTGCCTGTAAAAAAAGAAGGATTAATTTTCACCTGGTGGAGACTCTTACAGACCTTTGCTGTCTGAGAAGGATGATGGCAAATATCCATGGTGAATCTTTTAAAGCCAGTAGGCATAGTTAACTTGTACTAATATAAAGATAATATGCTTGTAATATAAACTTGTACTAATATAAAGCATAGAAAAATTGGCTAAAGAGATGGCTGATGTACATCAGTGTGATCAGTGACTGACAAGATGCTTTGCCAGCACTGCTGCATTCTGATTTATATATTAGTACTGTTTTGTATGGAAGTAGTGCTATAGGTCAAATCAAAGTAAATGAAAAATCCTACAACTCTTTGCAAATGAGGAGCCCTCATAGATTAAGTGAGATATTGCCAAGACAGTCACAAAACTGAAACTACTTCTTATTTTTAGCAAGAGTCCAAGTTCATTACTGAGAAGAGTGGAAATAATATAGAAATCAGCAGACTGTTAAATTGAGGGATAGAAACAATGTGATAAGTAAGGCTGTCCAGCCCTTTTCCAATGACAGTATATAACCCAGAATTGAAGAAAGCTGGACATGACTGCAGAACATGTGTTGCCCTGGAAATTGAAGCCTTCTGATAGTGTTTTCATAGTTTTAGTTACTTTCCCATGAAAGTAACATAAAGCTGTTTATCACATTCCTTCTAAGAAACATCTTTTGATGGATGTTTCTCATGACCAGTGTGCTTGGGAAGGTGGTAACTTAATTATCCAATCAATGGTCATTGTCGAGAATCCAGAAATACTGGAGTCAGAGAATAAAAGGATGTTTTTTTGTTCTGACACTGAGAGGTGCTGGTGTGAATCATTTTTTGTCCTCTAGTGACAAACATGGGCTTTGGACCTGCCTGTACAGAGATTTCAGCAACAACCCTCTGCAGAGAGCAGCAACCAAGGTTGTACTGGGCTGCTCAAAACAACAGGACCAGGGAGACAGCTTGTCCCTCTGTGACAGAGCTGCTCAGCTTTGGCAGCCAGCACAGAGGCTGTTTGGGAAACAGAAGGATGAGAAACTGAAGACAGCAGAATAGATGCATGCAAGGGATCTGAAGGCTGAAAACACACCCTGCAGGTGGATCTAGAAGTGTCGGGGAGGTGGTCTGGTTGAAATCTGTCTTCCTAGGAAGCACATGTCAGCTATAAAAAGGCACAGAGGAGGAGGCCAGCAGAGTGAATGCTAGCAGCTGATCCTGTACAAATTTCAAGGAGGAACAACTCATTAGTGGAGTACATAAGTCTTCAGGACAAGCTAGGAAGTGAATTTGCTGCACTTTAAATTCTTCAAATAAAAATCCCTTTCTTTGGGCAGGTTCATGAGTTTAGCATAGGGACAATTGGATGAAATTTATTCACATGTGATGTACTAGAGGGAGCAACAAATAACCTAGTAGTCCCTTTAGGCCTTAAATTATGTGAACAGACTATGTGGAATCTAGGTACCTATGCTGCTCCTGGTTCCAAGTGTGAGTTTTTACCATCTTATTTTACATTGATTACACTAATGGACTGGTATAGCCAGCTCTCTCTACCCATATTTTTTTAAGAATTCACAATTAATTCATGGGGATATTTCAAGTTTTAGGAAGCTGCTATTATTTATTCTCTGTGTGTGTGTTCACTACAGTAAAAAAAAATATTTTGTAAACCAGCAATCAACTAATATTACAGCTTATAATTTCTGGCCTCAACTAGGAAAGCAGTCAGCAGAACCAGTTCTAAGACAGACTGTGTCAACTGTGACAGAAAAATATTATTGGAACTTGCTATTTGGTGAGTTACTTTTTATGCATATATTGAGAACTGCAACAATTTATGGAATTGGAGGCAGTTAATCATAATGACAATGTAAGAAAAAAGGAAAGAAACTGAAAAGAAATGGTATTTCTGAAAGAAGTGAGCACTGAGGTCTGTTATGCAATGCCCCTTCTTAAGCACATCAGTCCTGAACCCAGCTCTGGGGTTTTTGCATGGTAAAGGTACCCTACTGTCCTACAATTTTTTTTGAAAAATGCAACAAAGATTACATGGTTTAGAAGAGGTTATTGGTGCATATACTTATAAGGACAGCTGAAGAATCACATTAATGATGTTAAACATTGACCTGAGCCTGAAAATTTCTGCATCTGATTCCATTTAAGTGCACTGCCATAATATTTTATCTATTCAAGACTTGCATGCATGACTTGTTTTCATACATGTTTGTATGTGTGCAGTACATACACACATACCTGCAAATAAAGATAAATGTGCTCCAGCTAACAAGGAAAAAGTAATAAGAATCAAGTACCTATCAAAATGTACAGGATAAAATTAGTTTTCAGCATGGCAGTGGGTCATTTCTACATGTATGTGGAACTTAGCTGCAGTGCTGTTGTGGACACACATAAAGCCTATAAAGCCACTAAGCTGGTGTTTCCCTGTATTATTTGGGGAGTGTTTGTGAAAACACATGAAATGGTTACCTGAAAGATTGACAGCAGAAGTATAAAAACATGTTTTTCAAAAATGTCAGGAATGTTTTGTGGTCTGATATTCTGGTACATTCTGTGCTACTGATTCAAAGAAACACGAACAAACCAGAACCCCCATCATGCAATTACTTACCTAGGTAAAGTTAAAGGGTTTCTGAGATGCTTCCATGTTAATAAAGTGGAATTCATAAGGGGTTTTTTGAAGGTAATTGTCAAAACAGTAAAATAAATGTACATATGTGTGTCTGTTGCATCTTCCTTTGGTGTCGCTTTATACACCGTATGTGGGCACTTCACTATGATATTGCATGGCAGAACTACACCTTCTATGTGAACTTTTTCCCATTTGGTAGAAATGTCAGGTCCTGGTTTATCTTTACTGTCCTTGGCAGCTTTTGCAGAAAATTTGCAAGATAACATTATTTGTACCCAAACCTTGTGGTAAATTTTTCTTATCATTCTCAAGGACTGACAAAAAGGGATGATTCCTGCTCAGTGAAGCCACATGTGTTTCCCATGCACAGAAAGTACATCTAAGTCAGGGGCTTAGGTAGGATAGGAATGCAAGGTATGTCTGCAAGCACTCTACAGCACACCAAACAGACACAAAGACAGCTTTTGTCTAAGTAAATTTGGTTATTAACACGTCTGTGACCGTGCTTGCATATGCTGCTGTGGAATACATAGAGGATCTGAAGCAAGTTTTGCTGCATTTATGCCAGTGCAATCCAAGTCTGTGACTTTTAATGGGTTTCATAAAAATGTTGGTGTTTGCAGCAGTATTAGTTTGCGGCTGTGAAGAATAACCTGTATGATCTTTCCAAGCAGTAAGAGGAAAGCGGAATCTGTATTTATGTTTGAGATTGTTTTCAACTAAGCATGCTACAGTCTCTCTGTTGGGTGCTACCTACAGCATTGTGTTGATAGAGTGCTGATATTGGGAGACCATAGATCCCCAAAATGTTATACACACATCATACACTGTCTTCTGGCAGTTTGAGGCACCTGGGTGTGTTTTAGAGCATGGCCCATATGCAATAGGCCATTGTTTGCACAGAGACTCAGGCACTGGTCTCTTTAGTGTTGCAATGCTTAACTGAATAATTCCTCTATTTAATTTTTTTAATTTACTTACAATTCTATGGCTGAGATTTCAAAGGAGTGGGGAGGTTTAAATCAGTGGGTGGTCAGATTTCTGCTTGTTTATCCAATAACTTTCCAATAGAAAATGTAAAAAGATTTCATAGGTACAAGGATTTCCTTCTTCCCAGATGAACCTGGGAGAATAATTTTTCCAAATTTTTCCTCTGTCATTTCTGCCTCAATGAATCTTGACTCTTGTCTCATTGTTGCAGGGCTTCTGTACAGAGTTGGAAAGGTTTTCGTCTCAGTGCCAGGAGATGTGGGTTTGCAATCTGTTATGCACAAAAAAATTAACTAACCCTGCAAAAGTGAGCCACAGAATGCAGAACTGAGCAGACTCATGTCTCTAGAGATAACTTGAGATAGTTAGAAATAGATAACTCTGTCTCTGAAAACTGCAGACTTTCTTGATTTACCCTGCATAAATTTTCTCAGTAAGTGGGTAAAATGGTACCTAGTGGCAGAATAATGAATTCACTGTGGATCTTCAAAGTTTCAAGTGAGCGCTGTGAAAACTAGGCTATTTTCTTTCAATCTGAGACAGGTTTTTAATGTAAGTATTCATGGGCCAAAGTAAAGCTCCTCAGTATCAAAAACTTAATTAGTCTTTGAAATGTCAACCTTTGGCTCTACTCTTTTTTATATAGTTTCCTAAGATTTATTAAAAAGTGTTGCAAGCTGAAAATTTCACCTGTGCATTCCTGAATACACTAGCTGTGTAATTAGGTCACTGAAACTTTGTGCACATAGCACATAGCATTTAGGGCAATTCCCTCATCTCTTAAGATTAAAGAATGAGATCCCTCTGATACAATTATTTAAACCATCCATCTTCATGCTTACCTCAAAAAAATGTTGAAAAAATGCTGTCTTTGGGAGTTTTTGTTTGTTTTGATCATGTGGCAGCTTCTCAATTCTACCTGTCTTCCACAAGAGCTTTAAAATTTGATTTTTTTCTGGTAATATACTCCAAGAATAACAAAACTCTTTGAGTTGTATATTTAACTTACTCTGCGAGAGATCTGAGAGTAATTTTAAGCCAACTAGCTGCTTGCTAAATCACTGGTTACCACCTTTGTCAGACCAAATTTCTTCAAGCACATTTAATTATTAATATTTTACAGTGATGCAGAGAATTTTCAGGGAAGCCCAGGACATCTTTCAGCTGATGGGACACATACATGAAATGTAGTCCAGAAATGGCTCCAAAGAACTTTCAGCATCAATCAACAAGATAGATGAAAGAGGAAGAGAGAAGCAGCACTGCTTGCCCACATATGAAGTCAAGAGGTGAGTGACAGAAAAGAGAAAAAAAATGTTTCAGATTTGTATGATTAATATGCAGTATTTAAAATCTAACTGGATTGCTTTGTGATGATCAAATAAGTAGCAGAGGTAGGATGCTGAATATTATGAACTTTACATAACAGCCACCTCTCATCACTCTTTTAAAACATGAACCAATTTGTTTCCAGCACATCCCTGGATGAATAACTGCACTGTTGTCTAAAGGGTGGTAAGCTTGAAACACATAAATGTAGGGGGTGGAGGAAAGCCCAAGACTGCATAGAAACTGTTTTCTTGCCTCCTGTTTCATTGTGGTTGACAACAGATCTCATACTATCCCTTGCCTGCAGCCTACAATGAAAGTATTTTTTATAACAACCTCTATTGTTAATTTTCAAGAAGATGAAAATGTCTATAGAAAAGCCAGTGTCACAGATGAAGACTGAAGTGGCCAAAATACATGAAGCATTATATGATTAAGATTTTTTTACTGTTCAGCCAGTCACATCTTTCTTCTCCTTTGAGACAGATATATTTTGAAATGGCTGTATTAAGTTAAAAAAAATCTATGCCTTGCCTTAACGCTGGGTTTTATATCCTATCCTTTCACATGTGTGCTTGTGTGTGTGTGTGTGTAAGATTACTTTATTAGCTGCCAAGAAAACGTCCTTTAAGGATTACACTAAATCTTTAATTTTGCAGTCAGTGAGAGGGCATTTCAGATGATATCCAGTGATATTCATAGGGGTTTTTTTCTGGTCTAATATCTCACCTATTCTGCTCCCAAACAAGAATAATATTCTGACAAAAGTAGACCACACCTGAGTTGCAAGGCAGACAACCAAATAAAGGAGCTGCCTGGCTAAGACCTGGAACTGATGTGGAAAGCTTTTGTGTAAGCTCTAGGGAGGGAAATACTTTGCTGGTATATGTCTCATTTCTACTAAGAGAGTTTTCCAGGATAGTTTAGCTGGTAAATCTCCTCTAGGGTATGTAAGGACAGTAGTGTGGGCTCTGTATTCTTGTCTTGGCTAGAAGTATACAGACAGCAGTTAGGGTTGCAAAATGGTACTGCTACAGTGCTGTGGTGCTGCCTTCAGCTCCATGAGAGCTGTATCACAAAAGTGATACACTACCTAGGGTAAGAACTGGATGTACTGGATGTACTAGAATGATGGAAGGACAGAGAGAAGTAGGAAAGTAACTCACTCTGGCTATAGTTATTTCTGTTCATATGGAGATCATGTATGATTAGGAGTCTATATCAAAACCAAGGTGTACAGAAAAAGTAAAATGAAGAAATATAGGGAGTTTGAAATCAAGGTAGAACTGCTGCATGGAAATGCAAGACTACTGTGCAGTTGATTTCAATGGAATTAGCTCTGTGTCCTTTGTATATGGGTTACAGTAAGTCCAGCTGCCAAGAGACTCAGCATTAAGGATGCAGGCTGTCCCACTCACATGGCATATTTGTGCCACTTAAACTGAACATATTCCTAAGGCTTTGCCAAGCCACAACATTACTAGGTGATCTGTCTACCAATAAAAATATGGTTTTCCATCTTAGGAATTAAATTCTCATGTAGAAGGTGGCTATTGGGTGTCCAAATTCTGCTTAGTTTTATATGCAATGGCATTGATGCCTTAAGAGGTGACCTGGAACAGAGGCTGGATGGAGTTAAAGGAATAAAGTCAGTGTTTATTAAAAGGCCTTCAAAGGATACACCTTGGGAAATATAAAAGTCTGGCCAGGGCTTCACCCAAGATGGACCCAAAATGGTCACAAAATGGATAACCACTTGTTTTCACACTTTTATAAGTTTCAGTCCATTTACACACTCAGGTTAATTGTGCAATTACAGCTTCAAAGTTATGAAATCCCATCCTCCCAGATTGTTCTTCTCAATTTGCTGTTTATACATTTTGGGCCGGAAGCTGCAATGGTGTCCTTGATTCTCGGGCTGGAAAAGGATTGTTTTGTCTACCTACACTGTGAAGAGAACTTGCTAACACTTTATATGAAATTCAGAGTTACACACTGAGGCAGAACATAATCCGGAAAATATGAAAGCTAAAAATTAAGGCATCAGCATTAATTTAATTAATTAATGAGCATTAGCTCAGGTAGCTCCCATCCTCTCCTTCCAGCTATTTGTGTGCTTGGTTTCTGTGTTTTTCCACCACAGCTTGCTTCTACTTTAGTTGTGCAACTACAGCTGCTTGTGGAGCTGCCTGGGAAACTGAATCACTGAAGTGATCCAGGAGAAAAAGTAGTGCTCTGTAATGAGAGCTTCTTCACACCTCTCTTTGGCATTTTGCCCTGTGAACCCACCACATTAATGCCCATATAGGTCCTTAAAAACCACAGAGAAAACTATAAATGTATTAAAAATTTATTTTAAAATTTAATTGGGAATAGAACTGTGACTCCTCAGAGAACTACACCTACGCTGCAGTATGAAGTATTTGCAATCATACTCCAAAGATGACAGCTATATCCTTCTACCTTGAGGATGAACCTGACCCATTTCTTTAACAAAGAGAGAGCTCTTTTACCCTTCTTTTCTCCGACTTAAGAATAGAACAGCTTTCACCCAAGAGACATGGGCTTTAGTTCTGTAGTCTCAAGTTTCCCATGGCTTTTTTGCCTTGCATTTCTTTTGCCTAAGCATAGAAGGCGCTCTTACACTGCTGTCTGCACCTGGGGAAAGCTGTTCCTAGAGCAAGACGCTGTTTGAGCTGTTGGTTTTGGCCGAGTAGAGCAGCCAATGGTCCTGTCCCAGGACACAACGCACAGCTGATAACAAATAAGCAAACACATTAATCTGTATTTCTGCAAAGGTAAATACTTTTCTGTAAAGGTAAATAAAGTTATTTGCATTTAGGGAAAGAAAAAGTCCTTTGAGAAGTACCACTGTAAAAAGCTGTGAGTAGCTCTAACCCATGATGCCTTATCCATGTATGAAATCCGACCAATCTATGTTTATTGATAGTTTTTCAGCTGTTCAAATTGGCTCCCTTGCACTGGTTTGAATTGTCTGAAATTGTTTTGTAGGCATATAATAATGAAATGTAATATGTAGATATGCATGTACATGCATGTGTGCAGATATACGTGTACCTATGCATATATATGTATATCTGTATACGCTGAAAAATAACCCTTACACTCATGATGAAAGCAGGAAAAAAATTAAAAGTGAATTAGAACCAGTTTTGACTTTTGACAAATATTGATTTGGTTTTAACTTAAATGGGTTGGAAAAGCAGGATAAGGCATCTCCCACTCTGCCTCCTGGCCTCCTGGGGCTCACGCTGAATATGTCTGGAGAGCACAACATATCCATGAGCCAGATCACACCAATGGAAGATGTACTTAGGGGTTGAATAAAACACCTCTTCTCTTCTCTTCTCTTCTCTTCTCTTCTCTTCTCTTCTCTTCTCTTCTCTTCTCTTCTCTTCTCTTCTCTTCTCTTCTCTTCTCTTCTCTTCTCTTCTCATGTCTCTCTCTTTCCCCTTTTATGCAGACCTTGCTCACTTTCTTTTACTATTCTAATTTCAATAAATTTTAACTCCTGGGTGTGTAGCATTTATTTGACTCCAGTTTTCCTTCTCTCATGGAAATGCTCCTTGTCCTTGCATGCCTTGACTTATCTAGACATATTTTGAAATTTGTTAGTTTTCTAGATTTTTCCTTCCAAATCACTGTGAGTCTTCAGAAGAGAAAGCTGAGCATCCTTCTATGTGAAGAAATTGCATAAAAAGATCAGTGAGAAATTATTTTATTCCTGGGCCATCATTTCTGAAGGATCTCTAAGCCCAAGTCTTATTTCCTCCTGGTCCTTCCCCCATTAAACCCTCATTACCAGTTCCTCAGAAACGAGGGTCCCTTTCTGCTTTGTAGACCTCACCTCTGGTTTTTCTCAGGACTAGATGTGAAGGTAAGATTGTACCTCATATCCCATCCACATGGAGAAAATTCTGAACATCTGTAGGCCTTGGCACTGAGAGCAGCTACAAACAGAAGAGTCATTCCTTCTGTGAGTGAGCTATATCACTGCACACCACCAGAAGCTGGCTGGGAAGTAATGGAAATGAGTTAAGTGTCATCCTGCCTTTAGGTAGCTTGTCATTATGTTTTTTCATCAGAGACATTAGGTAAGTTTAGCATTACTCAGCGGGTGCTTGATAATAACAGGGGCATGCTCAGGTACACTGATACTTTCTGGTTTGTTGTCCTTTTTGTTTAGGAAACCAAGAATGTAATGCACAGATGAGCATCTTGGAACATATCAAGTATGTACATCTCTTTGGACCATCAAATCTTTTTACATGTATTTGGAACCTTTGAAAAGAAAGTGGAGGATAGGACAATGAGCAGTTGAATAATAGATTCAGAGAGAAGCTGTTTGTGAAATGAATACAGATCTACATAAATGAAGAGGGGAACAATACAAAAAAAAAAAAAACAACAAACCAAAAGAATCTATCACAGAAAGACAGTGTTTATGCTAATGAAAAGTATCACAATTAGCTGTTAGACTAGTTTTCTGATAAGATATTGAACCAAACCAAAATGGACCTCTCTCCTTCAGCACTACTGAAGTGAGTCATTTTTTTGTACAGTGAAATCGTTTCAGTGTCACAGAGCGAGGAAATGATAAACATCACTATAATCTCTTGCACTGTAACAGAGCTATGGAGTACAACAGGAAGTGAAATCTAAGCATACCTCGGGGTGAAAAAAAAAAGGTTTAAATATTAGGATCTTGCATGTTTTCTAATCTTTTCAGATCTTTCAACTTCATTTTCCCGAAATGTGGGATGAAGATACGCTTTCTTATGAAGCAGGGAACCCAAACAGTTTCATACTTATTCATATGACTCCAGGAGCTGGTTTTATCACAGAGAAAGTAAATCATGAGATTCATAACAGCATTTGCAAAGCTTGGTCACACTGGGTCATGTGACATTGTGATCTTGTTACTCAACACAGATCAGTGGCTGTTGAATGCAAAGGAAGCTGCATGGATGTTTGAATCATCAAATTTTCATTATAGTAAAAGGTTTGTAAAAGTTTACAGTGGAATCTAAAGAAACATGATTAGTTCAGCCTTTTTTTTCTAAGAATATGCATTTGTACCATGTGCTTAACTTAATCTACATTCCAACAATACTTTGATAATATATTAATTTTGCTCAAGTGTTGATAAAATATTTTTTTAACTTGAGATGTTGATTTTTCTTGTGCATCATATTTTTTGACATTATTGTAAAGACTGGGAAGAAAAATTTTAAAAGGCACAAGTGATAGCTAAGAACCTCACTATCAATGTTAAACTTGTGAAAATAAGGTATATAATTGTCATTTAGGTTTTTTCTGAATTCTGCAGAGATTGTAAAGTGTGCAGTAGTTTCTGGCAGATATCAGGTCATGAGGACCCTCATTCATTGTTATTTTGTTTTGTTGCACCCCATCTTCCAGCCTAAAGAGGAGTTTAAACAGTGTATGTTCTTTGGGTGTCTTTATAAATAGCAAAATGCAGCAAGGTAGCACATGAACAATTGTGAAACACATCACAACCCCCGCAACAATTGTTAGCTGGGTGTGTTGTTAAATTGATTGTGTGAACTTGCTGTCAAAGGAGATGTCTGCATACTCCTGCCTGACAGATGCAGATGGACCCTGAATTATAATGCAGTAATATGGAGGAGGTTGTGGGCTGTGGAGACAGACATTATTGTCTTTCAACAACCTCCTACAAAAATATTCTGAATTTACAAATAGTTTTTCTGCTACTATGTATTTGTAACTGGAAAAGGTGATCTGTACAAGTGCTGCACTCCTATTCCTATGGATTTCATAAAACACAAAATCCTAATGTTCCTCAGAGGTCCTGGATTTATTCATCTTCTTCTGGCTTTCTTGGAGGGAAAATCCTCTCCCAGTGCTGTGAGGATATAGACACTTTTCTCTCTGGCTCCATTTCAGCAACTGGCTCTGTGCTCAACAGCTGATTTGCTTCTTCCTCCGGTGTCTTGTGCATGTTCATCTCATGATGTTGCTGGCTTGTTTTTCTCACTGTGTCTCCTGTTGATGTAAATGCCTAAAGAATTGTTGTATTAAGGACCTTTGACATTGTTAGATCAGAAAAATAAAAACTAATATCCAGCTAATTTTTTTTCTCCATGTTCAGTGGCTGGCAAGGTTGCTGTCTACTGTGAGGCTTTATGTGCTTGGAACTGAAAGGATACAAGAAATTTTTCACCCTTCAGCTGTGTGTCTGCCTGTGGTCTTTGCAAGGGATGGGACAACGAATAGGACCCAGTGGCATTTCCACATGAGGAACAGCTGAAAAGGTTTGGGCCTGCCAGGACACAAAAGCTGAGTTTGGCTGAGGCAGATGCTGCCTGCATCATCACTAGCTCAAAGAGGAGACATTTGGCTCCAGACAGGCGGCACAGGTTGAAGTGACTAAAACATCCTGAAGTGCTATGGGAAGTTCTGCTCAGCAGCGGGGAGGCGATGGAAGCCGTCGCTGACCTATAAACAGGATGAGGGAGCAGCAGCAGCCCAGCGCAGAGACAGTGGCTGGCGCTGCGCTGACAGGCAGACAGACACATAAACAAAGGCAGGGAGGAAGCTCTGCTTATATCTGGAAAAGAAACCCCAAACCATAGGATGCAAATGATGGACGTACATGGCTATAAATAGCTACAAAGCAGGACTTAAAAGATTTAGTTGTGACATAAAGCCTCCATGCAGAATGGACTATGTACACTCACTACTTTTTATTTAAGTTGTGTACTTTTTTTTTTTTACTCACATATTTAATATTACTGACCATGCTTAACTGGGCTTTTTAAACAGGGAGGAGAAAATTCACACAAATCAAATAATAACATTGTGTTCTTTTGTATAAATGAAGCGGCTAAAAATAGTTGGGATGCTGCCAGACTTTTCAGTCAATTGTCTAAGAGACCCAGTCAGCAGTAGTTTTGTGTTTTGGTATGAAATAGAGTTTTATTAGATCAGTAATCATACTTTGGATGCCAAAGGGTAAGGACGACACAGCAGTATTTTGTAGAGCTTTAAATTGTGTTCTGAGGGTTTGGGGATATTAATCAGAAGGCAAGTGAGAGTGGCATGCCCCATACATTATTCTGCTAGAGGAAATGTGGATGGGAAGCAATCTGTATGCAACTACTTCAAGATGCAGATGAGTATTGTCTTTCTACCTACTACTTAGGCAGGGAGCTTCAGCTGCAGCTTTTGCTGGACTAGCAGATTCAGTTCAGTGGGGTTTTGTGCCAGTTATGGTAGTTAAGAAGGTTTTGAACAATAATAGGTAGAGATAATTTTATTATGAAAAGAAAAACAAAGTTACTTGGAATAATATGCCTGCTGGCACTTTTTTACCAGATAATGGCTCTGTGACCTTTTAGGAATTTGTCTAGAGGTCCTGCTATGGGCTATTATGCTTGTAGATTTTAACTTGCTGTTTTCATTTGTAACACTCAAACTGCTTTCACAGTGGCTTTTCTGGCCTTTCTAAAAAAACTAACAAGTATTACTTTTTATACATACAACATAAAAACCTGTGTTTAATAGTTTCTGGTATTGTGTGCAGACACAAATACTCAAAGAACAAGTGAAGTTTGTCTCTAAAAGTCAAGGAGAGGTAAACCTTTCCATGCCCCCAAGCCACCAGCCCTAATAGATATTGCATAACAACTTCAGTTTCATTCAGAGTGGCATTGCAATTTCCAGCTTGACTGTCAGACTCATTTCTTTCACAGCAGGGCATGCTGTGCTTTCTGCACTGTGTGACTTCCACAACTGAGTTTCTTTACTAAGGTTCAGAGAGAAAATGTCAAAACCTCTGGAGCAATGTGCTTGTCCATCCTACAAATGTCCTCAGCCTGTCAATTCTTTCTCTCATGGTTTCAGGGTTGGGCTAGGAAGAAGTAGAGCTTTCGTTGTTAGATCTCTACAGGAGGTGTTTATACCCAAAAAATTAATGTTAATTTAATGTTTATTCTTTACCACTGTCTTGTGGTAAAGGGGACCAAAGGGGAGTTTTTTGCCCTCTCCTATTCACAGTTCCATGCTCCGCAATGCAGTCACTGTTGTGTAAGCCTGCTGTTTGCTGTGCTGTATTCCTTATGACATTCTAGGGATCAAGCCTTAGCCTGGGAAGTGGGAGACCACTGCCACAAGCAGCAGCATTCCCTACTAACCAAAGTTTATCAAAGACACAAATTGGCAGGTGACTATGAAGCGCTGAAGCTTCTCAGGGTGGTGCAGACTTTTGGGATTTCTTGACCCAACTCAGTATTGACCAAGTCCTTTTCTGAGGAGCTCACCTGGTGCTGAGCACCTCTGAATGGCTCTGCCACGTTTCTAAGTTGCCTACTTGAAAAAAGCCATGTTTGGAGGACTAGGCTGACCACTGCCATTAAAATAATTTCTGCTGCTCTGCTACCTAAAGAAACGATGCCTTTGCAATGCACATATAAGCTGCCCGTGTGGCATTTGCATCATACTTAGAACTTATTTAATTTCCCTCTTTGTCATTGTGTTTATTGCCTTAAGCTGTCTTAGAAAGTTAAAAATATGGGAAAAGAGAAAGCACAAAGAGAATGTTGTGAAAATTAATTTAAATTTTCTCTTCTGTTTTTCTCAGATGGAGGAGTTGGTGGTTACGTGCTGCACTGCTTGGTGGATACATGCCTGGCTATAGTAGGTTGAAAGGAAATCAAGGGTGGTGCTGCTAACATTCCACCCTCAGCTCCCTATTCACCTCTCATCATCCACCCTTGCATTTCAACTCAATCGTTTTACCCACCCACCTAGTTCCATGTGAAATTGTGCTAATGGATGTCTGTCCCACAATACACAGGGAGACTTGAGCTGTTTTTGTAATTTGCAACTTTCTTTTGAATTTCAAGCATTTCCAGCTTGCAAAATCCTGGTCTGGGTCAACATCTGGACTCCATCCATGCGTGTGTAATTCAAGGATCATAGCGCATAGGAGTTAGAGGTTGATCATCAAAATTTCGTTGTGGTTCAGGGACATTAGATACTGGGATTTTGCTATAATTCTGTGTCTAGCAGGAAGGAAAGGGCCAGAAAGGGAACTGATAATGATTTGAATGGAGTAGGACCTTGGGCAATTGTGTTCTGTGTTCCCTGCAAGCTCTGCACAGTCATTAACACTGACGAAGCATTAGAGACGTGTGGTGCCAGTTAGAGGTCAGTCCTTCCAGGAGCACTTGCCATATTTTTATGTCCTCATCTCCTACCTGTGTCTTGGCAGAACTAGAGCAACACAGTGGAACACCAGACTTTACACACCTTGTCTACATTACCCTCTTCCAAAGGCCTTTCACTTTCTGTTCTCAGTCCAAGCTTCCCTTTTTCTTTGTTTTGTCCTCTCCTTTTAGTTTCTCTACTTTTCCTTCACTCCTTTGGTCTGTCAGAAATCTCCCTCATGCCAGGAGAGGCCAAAACTGAACTACTATCAACTGGGCATCTGGCAGGAAATAAGCACCAGGTTGCATTGTGAACTTTTATGGTACTTGCAGCATGGACTGTTTTTACAATCAACTGCCGAGAGAAGATGTTCAAGAGGATGTGTTCAGTAGCAGATCAGGGCACAGCAGCCAGGTGGGATTCCTGGTGCAGAGCTGGCCAAGTCTCCCTGCTGAAGTTTCATTCTGGGCTATAGAGGAGTCTTCAATTACTGACTGAATGTTTTTTGGTGTCAGGGCCTCAGTTAAATGTGTGGGAGAGGAGCTAGGCAGAAGTGACAGCATTGGTAGATTTATATTAGTGGTCAGAGCAAGCCTGGCTGCACATGGGGCAGCAGGCACTGGCCTCCGTTTCTTTCCTCTGTCTGCTGTGAACATTTTACCTTGCTTGCACTGTCAGAGGCTGTCCCAGATCCTGAGCTGTAGGATTGTTTTCTCTCTCCTTCTGGTCCAATAATTATTCAACTGGTCTATGCAAAGTGGAATTCCTTCAGGCAGAGTTGCCCTTCTGTATCTGTTTAGAGACTTCACTGAACACATGCTGTCTTAGGTATATTCAGGCTGAGCAAAAGCCCTAAATTGAAATGCTGCTCAGATGGATCAGGGACCTTAGCTACTGGCAGGGAGTTCAGGACAAGGACAAGATCCTTGTGGATTCACTTTCAGGACAAGGACAAGATCCTTGTGGGTTCACTTTGAAAACACTTACCTATTTGGTTTTTGCCCTATTACTACAACTCAGGGAGCCAAAGGATTCTTTAGACACAGGTTGTCTTGGCCTTGCTTTGATTTATATATATTTGGAGAATGTAACTTCTAGATGTGTTGCAAGTAGCTGGAAGAAGCACTGAGGACTCAAATGCCTCCAAGCCCAGGGATGGGGTTTTAAGGAGACAAGAAAATAGACAGGCTCTTTTGTATTTTCAGTGCAGGGTGAAAGAAAAGTCGCATGCTTCATCCCTTCACATTAACATAGGAAAATCATCTCACTGAAGTGCACATCCTCCTATTTCTGAGGCAAAGCAGAAGAATATGAGACAACAGAAACAATGGAAACTGCAACAAATTAATAAATTTTATTCTAACACAAGGCCAAGACTTCAGAAGTGTTTATTTCATCCTTAAATACTTCAGCTTTCATCCTGATCATCTCCTATTTTTTTACCTGGCAGAGCCCTGCTGTATGGAGTAAAACAGAACAGCAACCTGCACACATAGAAATTCATCAAATCCTGTCACACATCAGCCCTTTCTGCAGAATTGCCCAGTAATGCTTAATTGTCAAACAACTCTTTACTGCAAAAATATTAACTTAAGTGCAGTTTCTTATTCTGACACTGAAACTTGGCCAAGTGTTTAATGCTTATAGCCATAGGAGGTTTTTTCTGTCACAGGAGGCATTTAAAAACATGACAAATAATAAACCAAAGAATGTGACAGAATAAAAAACAAACCCAAGAAAACAAAATGAAAGAAGCAAACACACAATTTAGGAACTGTCAGACTGTTCTTTGAAGTTTTGGTTAAAACTTTAGTGTCCACATTAATGAATTTTAGTTCAAAATTTGCTTGCCATTTCTTTCTAGCAAAACATGAAGTGTTCGTGATCCTCCTGGCTCATTTATATTATAAACTTGGCACACATCCTTTTGTAAGAGTAAGCTTTCCTCAAAAATCTATTTTCCATTGCTTGCTGTAAATAGAATGTAAGCCAGTCTCTTCAGACACAAAAAACTGCTCTTAATGTATGTTGAAACTATTAGGATAGAGTAAGAAACCAGAGATATTTTTTTCTCAGAACTGTTGAAACTCAATTGAGGTGATTATTATTGCTGTTAGACTCATTTTGTCATAGACTTTGTGCCTCCTGACTCAACAAATATGAAAGACATCTAAAAATCTCTAGAACATGGCACTTCACAACTTCCAAATCTCCTGAACTGGGAGATTTTCTATAGTGACCAAAGTAGTAGATGGACATCACTGACAGCAGCAAATCTAACTGACATCAGTCACTTTATGAAAACTCAGTTACTTTATATAACTGTGCTAAAAAATTCACAACTAATTGGCTGCAACATTCTCTCTCCTTTGGCCACAATGACGTGATTTCTTTTCAAATATGGCATGCACGTTTTGCTATGCAACAGCAGAAAATTGTACTCTGTCATTGTGATTATCTGTTGTCTGGCTTCTTTCTCTCTTCTTTCTTCTTTTATCCACAGTCTATTGTCTACTTTCAAAAGCCAAAAATAAAACCACAATGACTGTGTTAGACATGTCTTGCTGCAAAGAAGGCCAGTGGTACCCTGAGCTGCATTAGGAGTGTTGCCAGTGTGGAGAGGGAGGTGATTCTGCCACTGTACCCACCACCAGTGGGTCCCTTCTTGGAGTGCTGGATCCAGTCCTGAGGTCCCCAGTACAGAAGACATTGACACACCTGAGTCTAGTGAAGGGCTACAAAGATAATTGAGGAATGAAGGCAGCTCTCCTATGAGGAAAGGCTAAGAGAGTTGGGACTGTTCATCCTAGAGAAAACCATGTTCAATAGGTCCTTAATATATACTCAAGGATATACGTATTAATATTACAATATTAATTACAATTACAATATTATTGTATTAGTATTAATATACTCAATATATATGAATCCCTGAAGGAGGATGTAAAGAGAATGGAGCCAGGCTCTTTTTGGTGGTGACTAAGACAAGAATTAATGGGTAGAAAATGAAATACTGGAGATGACATCTGAACATCAGGAAACATTTTTCTACTCTGAAGATGACTGAGCTCTGGCATGTATTAGCCAGAGAGATTGTAAAGCCTCCATCCATTAAGATATTCAAGGGCTTTTGGACATGTTGTAACTGACTGGGTTTGGACCTGATGACCTCCAGAGGCCCTTTCCAACCTCAGCTGTTCTGTGTTAAGGAACAGTGAAGGAACAGAAACTGCAATTTGTGTCTTCAGTGAGATGTGCAAGCATATATCAGGTAAGGATTGAATAAATAACCAAATTTGTCAACTGTCTGCATCAATACATGCATACTGAGTTTAAAGAAATATTTTCTTCTCTCTTTCTCTCTCTCTTTTTTCCTTCCTTTCCTTTCCTTTCCTTTCCTTTCCTTTCCTTTCCTTTCCTTTCCTTTCCTTTCCTTTCCTTTCCTTTCCTTTCCTTTCCTTTCCTTTCCTTTCCTTTCTCTCATTTCCTCTTCCACCTCACTCCCTTTCTGTCTTCCTCTCTGTCTCACTCTCCCTCTATCTTTTTACATACGTTGAGAAGAAACTTCCTGAAAAGTTTCCTGACACTCTATCTAAAAAATCACAGGGAGAATCACTGGTCTTCTTTTCCCTGTTTCACTGTGACCTGATATTTATCTCCTATCAGACTGTTGTACTGTCCCATGGAGACCACAGTTAACTTTGGCAGACTTGTATCAGTGACTCAGTCTGCCCTGGCCCCGTATCAGACTAGAAACAGGAATGTCAGGCCCCTAAATTAGAAATGATAAAATGATGAAAATGAAGAAGGGAAAAGGGTTAAAAAATATTTATTTTGGGAAGGAGTCAGAGAAACCCCTGACCTTGACCTCTTTGCTTGCTGGAAAGGACACTGTACTCAACCCACTTATGAGATACAGCTGAAATGCAATGTAAAAATGATTCCAAATATCTGTTGCCAGGAAGCAGATGACATACTAAATTGCTCAGTAGATTGAGTACTAAATTCAGTGATTTCCTGCTGCAAGAGCTGCCACTATACAGCCATTTTGTCTTTTTTGGCAAGGCAGCTGCTTTTGGACGGCTGTCTCCAGTAGTCTTTCCTACACTTCCTGTTGTAGGAAGGCCTGTTTCCTGCCGTGAGATTCCTGATTAGGCTCTGCACTATTTTTGTCTGCAAAATGCCTGTGTAGCAGGTTGCTTCTCTGCATTTGATACTGATTTGTGGGAAGTGAAGCCAGATCACAGACTGGCCACAATGGAGCATCCAAATCCTTTGAGAAATCTAAAAAAAAAAAATGCTGTCGCTCAACTGAAAAGAACTGATGCTTAATGTAGCATTCAGAGGTACAATGGAGACCAAAGTATTTATTTTTGTAGTGAAGTTTCACTCTGTTTGTTTCTTTTGGTATTGGAAACCAGGGCCTATCAGCTTCACATTGTCTTTTTCAAAGCATCTCCAAGGTTAGTTTTCCTCCTCTAATGTTCAGAGAATCTCCTGGTCCAGGTCCAGGTTCTATGTACCTCTGTAAGGATAAAGACACTTTCCACCTCCTACTAAGTATATTATAGGCTTTAAGTTTTATTTCTGCTGGTAGTAGGGGGGGAAGGGGGAGGTGGGAGGTGGTGGGG